CAGCAGGACTCATGATCTCTAGACATGGCAGTGCTTGATATTTATTAGCCTCAAGGCTTTTCATCACCCCAGAATGCCATACATCACTGACATTAAAGGGGTCTTTTGACGTTATACAGATTAAGGAAATGATCTTAGGGGAGAGAAAAACAAGACTATAATTCAGGGATACATGAGGAGGTTTCATGAGAGAACAATGCAGGGTGACGGTTATCACATTTGGTCATCCGTACCAATCCAGCTTTCCGTCATGGCACTAGCAATAAGGAGCAGCTTTCTGATTCCTTATGCCATGGCCCAAACGTGACTCCCTTCCTCCTGCGTCTGTCCTTGGTGGTCTCCAACAGACCAAAGAACAGCTGGTGGGTTTGAACTGCCAATCTTGTGGTTCACAGACCAGTGCTGATCCTACAGCACCATGCCAGGAGTCCAAGCCACCAGGACTAGACCATCTTAAAAGAAGAAGGGGAAAAATCAATATAGAAATGTATGGTTTATTATCTAAAATATCATGTCACCACATTTAATTCAAAAGCATCCAATACAAGTCAGGGATGTTAGCACACAAGAAAACTCTAGCAGCCTCCCTAATAGAGGCAACTACCTTATTGTCTTTTAACCTTAACTCCTGGCGTGGTGCTGTAGGATCAGCACTGGGCTGCAAGCCACAAGGTCAGCAGTTCAAGCCCACCAGCTGTTACAGAACCAGCTCAGTGGCACTTAACACCAACAACACATGATTATGGTTATTTTGATTGGGTTTGAGTTAAACACAAATGGTCTACAGCCCAAGTTGTAATATCTCAGAAGACACTTCGGCCTTTAGGATTTTACCTGAGTGGTAAAAACAAAAGTTTTCAGCTTCCCTGATATCCTGACAGTCCTACTGTGCTGATACATTTTCATGAGTTTCTCTAAGGGAGCCTCACATTCCATTTGACATGAGGGAAACTTGATTTTAGAAGAGGTAAAAGTATAAGAGTAGGTGGGTTTGTGAACACAAATTAGTCCTAAAAGAACCATGACGTTTGCCCTTCTTTCAGGGTTTGGGTGAAGCTGGCATGTTCCTGGGAAGCTCTGTGTTGTTTGCCATAAATGATGCGGTGACTGCTGCCCGTAGAGAGAGAGGACTGACCAAGACCTTCACCCTGAATAGCCCAGCAACTCCTGAGACAATTCGGATGTCCTGTGTGGATCAGTTTACTGACATGGTAAGTGGAGTCCCTGTTAAAAGTCTCCTTTACATGGACTTTTAGGGTCTTGGTATTGATGTGATTGTTGTTGTTGTTAAGTGCGGTCCAGTCGATCCCGACCCGTAGCGACACTGTGTATGTAGGGTTTCCGAAGAGCAGCTGGTGAGCTTGAACCACCAACCTTGCAGTTTAAGTGGCTCTGCAGTCTGGCACATTAACCCACAGTGTCACACCAGGACTCCAAAATTACAGAGCAGTTTAATCTTTTTCAATGAAAATTCTCATTTGCTTCTATTTCCCACTTACTGTATTTTTCAAAACAACTGAAAAGTCAGTGACTATCATTAAAAGATGGTTTAATTGTTTTAGACCTAAAAGAAAAATATGTTCAAATGAGCCAGTGTTGATTAATTTATTTAATGATCTAATCCCAAGTAGACATGGTAGATAACTTCTCTAAACATTTTCTCAAAATACAATTGGTATGGTGTCTTAAAATACTTCAATAACCAAATAAGATTGAATATTTAGCAAAAATTATGCAGAAAATAATGGTTAAGTAAACTAATAGTTTACTAGTTTATATTTAATAACAGTTTAAATGAAAATAATATGTTACTCTGCAGATCTTGGTATGACTTGTGAATCACACACTAGTAGAATAAAGTTCCATTTTACAGCTGCTAAAAATATATCTGGTAGCGTAGTGGTTAAGAATTGGGCTGCGAACTGCAAGGTCAACAGTTTGAAACTACCAGCTATTCTGTGGGAGAAAGCTGAGGCTTTCTGCTCCCGTAAAGATTTACAGCCTCGGAAACCCAGGGTCGCTATGAGTCGGAACCGACTCCATGGCACATAAAACAACAACAACAACAAAAATATATCTAGAGTTATCACCAGACAACATTTCTTATTTATGTGTTAAACTACTTACTGCATTTTATGCCTTTGAAATGACAGGATTTCTGGCTAAAATGCATCTATCCCAAATATAAGAAGTTTATAAGTATAAGGAAATGTACAACTCAAGTATTGAAGGAAATATGAATATTCTTGTATAAGAATAAAATGGACATTGACTTACTCATTTTGAAACACTGTAATTTGTCTTCTGAGTCACAATAACTCTTGTCATATAGTAACATTTTATTAACAACTATCTTCCTTCTCTTGATCTTTTTTAGATTCCCAAAGATGACCCTTCAACATTTACACCTTGGTCAATCCGTGTGTCTTAATCCTATGAAAGATAAAAGAATGCAAGATGGTTCCTCTTAAAAGTTTCACATCAAAGCAAAATATAGATTGGCTCCAATGGTCAGGGATAATATTAGCATCTTTTCATTAGTCTCTGTGACTTAAGTCAATTCGTCATTATATATTAGGATGTAAATTTTCACCAAAAGGTGAAATAATGCTTAGAATCAAAACTTCTTATTCTAGTTTGCATTATCCTAAGAATCTGCTTCTTCACAATTTCAAAACATGGTTGGAATTTTCATTCACCTGTAACAACTCAAGAGATACTACCTGTACATCTTTTTCAGAAATCTGGTCAATAAAACCATCTACCACATACCTACAAAACACCTTGTAACATGGAAGAGCCTAGAGTGCATTATGATGAATGAAATAAGCCAATCTCAATTGCAAAAGGATAAATATTGTACGAAATCACCATTATAAAAAGTCAACAAAAGGTTTCACACTGAAAGAAACATTTTTTTATGGTTAACGGGTGGGAACGGAAGGTAGAGGATAAATTACAAACTACAGAGTAGCTATATAGTAACTTGGGTGACGGGGAAGGCAATGTACATTACTAGGGAGGTCAGCAAAAAATTATGGAGGTAGAGGAACACACTGGGAGGAATAAAAAAGTTAAAGGCAACAGAGGTAAAAAAAAAAATGTAATATGCACAATTCTGCAATAATGATGAGCTATGAGTGGATGCTCAGCAGATGTGGGAGGGAGAGTGGGATTGTACCCATGAATATGTATATGAGTTTGGCAGATGATATTACTGCATGTGCATATTTACCTTTGCTGCAAATGCATTCACGAATGTGGTAAAACATATGGGGGCAAAGTTATGAAAACTTCTTATACATAACCAAGCACCTTCAGGGAACAAGTTGCTGAACCTGGGAGCTCAGAACCATAGTCTCAGGAGACACCAAGGTCAATTGGCATAACATAGTCCGCAAAGACTGTGTTCTACATACTAATTTGATGAGTAGTGACTGGGATCTTAACAGCTCATGAGTGGCCATCTAAGGTGCAGCTATTATTCACTCCCCATCCAGAAAAGAGTGCAGATATTTGAAAATGTATGGGAACAATTAGTCCAGTGGACTAATGAGCCGTGTGAAGCTTAGTCTGCATGACTCTAAGACCAGAAGAACTGGATGGTGCCCAGCCACCACTACCAACTGTTCTGAAATGGATCACATTAGAAAGTCCTGAGTCGAGTGGGAGGAAAATGTGAAACAAAACTCAAAATCATACAAAAGACAAAACTTACTGGTTACATAGGGACTGGTGGAACCCCTGAAACGATGACCCTAAGTCACCCTTCAAGTCTGAAACTGTACCTACCCTTTTGCCTCAACTTTCAGGGAAACAATAGTTCTAGAGAGGTATGTGCTCCTTAGGATAATCAACCATTTGTAATCACAAGGGCAGCATTTATCCACAGACAATGTTAGTGTTAGGAAAAAGAAGGATTAGGGAAGAAGAGGAATGGAAACAAAAAACATGAGGAGGATTGTAATCAATGACATGAAACAAAAAGAGTATGAATTCTTAAAAGGAAAAATGATTTGTTCTATGTCATGATTCAGTTGTGTCCCCTCAAAATATGTGTCAACTTGGTTGGGCCATAAGTCTCAGTGGCTTGGCAGATATGTAATGATGTAACAGTTATATGATAATCTTCCATGGTGTGATCTCATGTAATAAGCCAGTAAAAGGATTAAGTGTTGGATGAAACATCATTAATCCCATCACAACCCTGATCCTATGTTAGGGGCAAGTTCCCTGGGCTGTGGTCTTCAACACCTTTTCCTTACAAAAGATTAATGGAGAAAGAAGTGAGCAGAAATCAGAAGGACATGCTACCACCAAATAGGAGAGTTGGGAGTGGAGTGCATCCTTTGGGCCTGGCTTCTCTGCACTGTGAAGCTCCTAGATCCACAGAAAGGCTGGTGCCAAGACACATGGAGATATCCAAGAAATGCTGGGCCAACAGATGCTGAAGAGAGACAAGGGGTTTCCCTGAACCTTCCCCTAGAGCTGACACTATGAATTGGACCAGCCACCTACACTATGGAAGAATAACTTTCTGGTTGTTGAAACCATCCATTTGTGGTGTTTCTGTTGTAGCAGCCCTAAAGAAATAAGACACTCTGTAAACCTTCACCCAACAATTCACAATAAAATTTAAAGAACAAAATCTGCCACTACCACCCCAAAACTAAAGTTTATATTCTCCAGAGCCAATAGTATGCTAGTAACAACAATGACCCCGGGGAGTAGCTGGGGGTGGGGGTGCAATTAATGCATGCCAGTTTCTATGGCCAATTACAAGTCACTCATGTGAGGCCTCTGAATGTAGATTTGGGAAGAGAGATCACAGATAGCTGTCCTGAGGTGATGAGAGCTGGCTGCAGTACTATGAGCCCATCCCAATCCCAAAGCCTCTACCATTCTCTCATGGCCTATTTGGAAGAGATTTGGGGAGTAAACTATCCAAAGCATCCAGCTGGTGCTTAATTGTCATGATCCATGCACATGGTACATCTTCCTCATCAAAGAAGCCATATTGAATAAAATAGTAGTCACAAAGCAACTCTTTGTGCCCCTTGTTTTGGTTTAGTACCTAAAAGGTGGTATCAACACCACCTTGCATTTGCCATCAGAGAGCAAAACTTCTCAGGGCTCTTTTTTCAGTTCAGTAATTCTCCTTACGAAATGCAATCTTATACCAGAGAAAATGTTCAGATCCTGTGAAGACTGAAAACAAAAACAAACAAGTTATATCACTTGTCAAGGATCTGTATACTAGATAGTCAAGCACTGTACTTATTACTAGTTATTTTGTGGTAGACAAATGAGCATGGAGCAATTGTTTATGTGTGTGTGTGTAACCAGATAGGAAGAAGACCAAAGGCCTTTTTCCAAAGACAAAGTTCATCAATCATTATCTCTTAATCTAAGAGAAGTGATTGTTTATATGTAAACATGTGTTTTTAAGTGTCTACTTGAATTTACCCAATAATCTAGCTTGTCTGCACCACAACCCACAAGAACTCATTGTGACAAACAAAGCTATAAAAACAGGGTCACTGGTATATTTTTCTAGCAATAAAATAGGAAATCCCTCTTGAGCATAGATGCAAAAGTTCTCAAAACATCCTAGCCAACAGAAATCAACAACATATCATAAAATAGTATATCATACCAAGTGGGATTCATACCAGGATGCAAGGATGGCTCAGTGTTAGAAAACCAGTCAATGCAATCCACCACATAAATAAAACAAAGGAAAAGAATCACATGATTCTATCAATTGATGCAGAAAAGGTATTTGACAAAATCTAACATCCATTCCTGATAAAAAAGACACTCAATAAGATCAAGAATAGAAGGGAAATTCCTCAACATAATTAAAAGTGTGTATACATATCCAACAGCCAACACTACTTTCAACAGAAAGAAACTGAAAGCATTCCCTTTGCGAACAGGAGCCAGACAAAAGATGCCCTTTATCACTACTCCTGTTCACTATTGTGTTGGCAGTCTTAGCCAGAGCTATAAGATAAAAAAGGGAAACTAAAGGCCTCCAAACTGGCAAAGAAAAAGTAAAACTCTCTCTATTTGCAGATGGCATGATCCTACATAGAGAAAATCAAACAGACTCAACAAGAAAATGATTCAGCAAAGTGTCAGGGTAGAAGATCAATACACAAAATCAGTTGGATTCCTCTACATTTAAAAAGACAGCTCTGAAAAGGAAATTAGGAAAGCAATACCATTTACAACAGCCACACAAAATGCTTAGTAATAAATCTAATCAGAGAGACAAAAGACCTTGACAAAGAAAACTGCCAAACACTATTACATGAAACCAAAAGAGACTTATAAAAATGGTAAATATATCATGCTCATGACAGGAAGACTTAACATTGTGAAAATGTCAACACTACCCAAAGCAATCTATCAATATAATACAATCCTAATCCAGATTCCAACACCATTCTTTAAATAGATGGAAAAACTGATCACTAACTTTATATGGAAAGGAAAGAGGCCTTGGATAAGCAAAGCATTGTTTAGAAACAACAAAATTGGAGGCCTCTCACTCCTTGATCTCAAAATTTACTTCATAGCCACAGTAGTCTACACAGCCACAGAGGTCTACAGAGCCTAGTACTGGCACAGTAAAGACACATAGATCAAGGAAACAGAATTGAGAACTCAGAAGTAAATCCATGAACATACAGTCAGCTGATCTTTGACAAAGGGCCCAAACATTAAATGGTGCTGGGAAAACTGGAAATGTATTTGCAGAAGAATGAAATAAGACTCATATCTCACATCATATACAAAAACAAGCTCAATGTGGAGTAAAGACCTAGATGTAAAACCTAGATGCAAATTCTATAAAGATAACCAATGAAAAAGTTGGCACAAGCTTAGGAACTCTAGTACAAGGCATAAATACACACAAATACCTAAAAATACTGTCACCTCCTAAACATTAGACAGACACTT